AATGAACCTGTTGATCTAATAATCTGCTGTTTCAGACTCTGCTTGTTCTCACGATCAGAAACTTTTATCTTAAAACCATCACGAGCCACCTAATCCATGTTTCTTCTTCTTCTTCCAACAAAACGGGGGTTTTGAGGGAGATTGGGCTTTTTTGCTCAACTGGTTCTTCCTCATCCCAGCTGTTTTCCACGCTGAGGTGCTAACATGGAAATAGATTCCCTCTCATTCTGCCAGCCTAAGCCAGGCTCAGGTTCCCCATCTCCTCTAAGGACAGTAAAATGTCCCCAAAATCATCAGGAGTCTTGTTTGTCCCCTTTAGGACCTGTTCATGAGAACCTCTGCTCCGGGTCCAGGCTGGGAGAGCTGGGGGGGTTCACCTGGAGAAGAGAAGGCTCTGAGAAGACCTGAGAGCCCCTTGCAGGGCCTAAAGAAGCTCCAGGAGAGGGACTGGGGACAAGGGATGGAGGGACAGGACACAGGGAATGGCTTCTCAGTGCCAGAGGGCAGGGATAGATGGGAGATTGGGAAGGGATTTCTCCCTGTGAGAGTGGGCAGGCCCTGGCACAGGGTGCCCAGAGAAGCTGTGGCTGCCCCAGCCCTGGGAGTGTCCAAGGCCAGACTGGATGGGGCTTGGAGCAACCTGGGATAGTGGGAGATGTCCCTGCCCATGGCAGGGAATGAGATGATCTTCAGGGTCTTCCAACCCAAACCATTCTAGGATTCTACAACATAAACATCCACGTACAACAATTCAATGTAATTCTCTTTTTGGTGTTTCTGCTGAATGCTAAATATGTTTTGGTTTTTTTTCTTCCCAATGTCCCAGCCTATTGGCAGGACAGTGTTTGCCCTCCTGTGCACCCCAGGGCTGCAGCTCAACCTCTTCAAGTGAAGGACAGGGCTGTTTCTGTCCATAAATCACAGAATCCCAGAATGGGTTGGGTCGGGAGGCACCTGAAAGCTCCTCTCCTTCCATGCCCTGCCGTGGGCAGGGACACCTTCTGGGGAAGGTCGAGGGGATCCTGCTCCACTTGGGATCAGCTGTCCATGTACAGCTCCTCAGCCCATGTCCCAGGCCACGTGTCCACAGAATCACAGAACATCCTGAGCTGGAAGGGACCCACAGGGATCATCCAGTCCAACCCCTGGCCCTGCCCAGACACCCCAACAATCCCCCCCTGTCCATCAGAGCTTTGTCCAAACCCTCCTGGAGCTCTGGCAGCCCTTGGGGCTGTGACACTGCCCTGGGGAGCCTGTTCAGTGCCAACCCCCCTCTGGGGGAAGAACCTTTCCCTGAGATCCAACGTGACCCTCCCTGAACCAGCTCCAGCCATTCCCTGGGTGCTGTCAGTGGGCACAGAGAGAAGAGGGTGGTGCTGCCCACTGAGAGGAAGCTGCAGCCCCCGATGAGCTCTGCCCTCAGGCTCCTCCTCTCCAGCCTGAACAGACCAGGTGCCCTCAGCCAGTCCTTGCATGGCTTCCCCTCAAGGCCCTTCACCATCTTTGTGGCCTCCTTTGGACGCTCTCTAATGCTTAATAACTTAGTGGTGCCCAAAACTGCCCCCCGTGGGGGGTGCACGGTGTTTGCCTGGGTGCCCACCCACCTGCAGGAGCGGGTCGGGGATGTCGCTGTAGCCGTGGGCGGTGCCGTGGGCGGTGCCGTGGGTGGTGCCCGGTGCTGTGCTCCTGGTTCGATGGCCCAGCGAAGGTGTCCTCTCTGGGGGGTTCTTTGGGGCCGTGGGGTTCGGAGGAGGCACCAGCCCCGTGCTGCCCACGCTGACCATTGCCCAGCACCCCGGGATGGCCCCACGCACAGCCGTGTCACCCCATACACACCCGGGTCAGCCCCACACACCCACCAGCCCCACACACACCTGGCTCACCTCACATACATCCAGATCGGCCACACACAGCCCAGGTCAGCCTCCCGCACACCCGGGTCAGCCCCACAACACCCTGCTCATCTCCACACACCCGGGACACCCCACACACCCCGCATCGATCATTCCCACACACCCAGCCCCTCACGGTGGGGTCGGTCCCCCACTCCCGGGTCACTCCACACACCCAAGGTGGTCCCACAGTCGCTCGCTCGGCCGGGATGGGGGACACAGGTTAGGGCCCCCCAAAGCCGGGGGCTGCTCCCCTGGGTGGGTGGGAGCGCTCACCCCTCACTGGGGACACGCAGGGGAAGAGGGACCCCCGAGCCGGGGGGCTGGGGGAGAAGGGAGAGTATGGAGGGAAAGAGCTGAGGGGGGATGGAGGGAAAGGGGGGGACTGGCAACAAACCTGAGAGGGGACTGGGGCAGGTCAGGGGGGTAACCTGGGGGGGTCCGTGAGGGGAAACCCTGAGGGGAGACTGTGGGGGA